TTCTCTATCTTCCTCTTCATCATCATTATCATCAAGATTCAAGATTCAAGATTCATGATAATTTATTGTTATGTAAAAAATGCATACAATTTGTTTTCGGACATTTGAAGGTGCATACATGTAAATAAATATATAAATACATCGTCGTATTCTTCTTCTTTTTCTTCTTCTTCGTCATCGTCATCTTCTTGTATATTGGTGGGGATGGAGGGTGCTGGGGGGGGGGGGGTTGTAAAGTTGGAGGTAGGACGGGGGAATCATTTTTATGAAGCCGTATCCGTGATCATAGAGTCAAACTCATCATATTTCATAATTTATTCGCAATGGTTGACTACGTGACGACCCCATAAGTCACGTTTTAATCACCCGCAAACCCTTTACGACCAAAACATCTGTTCCTCGCCTAGCTGCCGGTGCAGCTCCCCGGTGATTTACGCTCAGCCAGGCGCCGCCTAACTACCACAGTGATATCAAACTCATCCCTGTTCATAATGAAAGGTGAATTCTACCGTGGGTTATTGGGATCAATGAAGATGAGTGCTTATGGGCGCGCCTGTTTTGCGCAGTGATGATTTGATTCTGTTTTGTGTATTAATTTCTAAGATTATGAAATTGGTCAACTTGGTCAGGACGAGGAAAGGGAGAGGGACGCAAAGGAGTCCTGGTTTTGACTTTCAAAGGGACTTGGACTTTTTAAATCCTAGGAATTAGTTTTGATTAGACAAAACTTTGATGAAAGCGGAAGGAGGGGCGGAGCGGGGGGCGTCATGGGATTTAGATAATATGTCTTTATTTGATTACGAATAATAATACTCGGAAAAAAACGCAACGCCAAATCTGAAATGTGTCAACTCTCTTAAATATCTCTATATCGAATTCCTTTTTAAACCTTCACGCCCTTTTTTCGTATTACTTCAATTTTCAAATTTACAAAAATTAATTAACGTGGAAAGTGTATGAATGTTTGGAAGTAGACAATGGTAATTGACTGATTTAATCACTGTCGCCAACTGATTATTCAATTTTCTATCGATACTTCACACCCATAACTCTACCGCCACACGCCTTCACCACCCTCATCTTGCTACCCTCGCTTCTGGCGCCTCTGGTCGTACCACCCCAACATGCACCCTCTTGCACTCTTAATGGATCCATGCACTAACATGATGTAGTAAATTTATGGTTAATACCAATGGTTAAGGACGGTGAAAGATTCCTTTATTACCCTTCTAAAGAGTTCCGGTGATTAGCAAGCGATTGGCCTGATTATTAGATTGGACATGGCTCTTCATGGGGCATGGCTTTATGTCACGTGACTGTTTTTTATCTCTGGTAACCTCATGAATCTGTCCAACCTGATCGTCAAATGTAACGTCACATGCCATGATACAAGGAAAGGATCGGTAACCAATTATGAAAGCTGTAAGATTAAATATTAAGGGGGGGGGGTTCAAAGTAGTTCCTATCATTTTTTCGAGACTTCGTAAGTTTACAACTATTTCATTCTCTGTTATCTATCCCCCCTCTCTCTCTCTCTCTCTCTCCCTTCCTATATATCTCATTCTCAATCCCTTTTTACTTTACCACTCTCCCCTTCTGTCTCTCTCTGTCTCCCTATCTCTCTCTCCCTCTCTCTCTCTCTCTCTCTCTCTCCCTATGTATCTCATTCTCCATCCCTTTTTGTCTCTTTCTCTTTGGCCTATATTCAGACTTACTGTACATAGTTAACAAAGCTCATTTATTCACAAGAGTAAAATGTTGTGTTTTGTTGGTTGCTGTTGTTTGCTCGTTTATTCGTCTGTTATTGTTATTGTTTTGTTTTGTTTTGTGTTTTAAAAAAAAAATTATTTCGCTTTAGTCCAACGTTACTATTATGTCTCTGTTAGGGTAAAAAACTAAATCATAGCCATATGAGGATTGATAGTATAGCGTATAGGTCAAATATTATTCGGTATTTTTAAACGGCATATTCATTTTGGCATAAGAATGTGGACCACACATTGTCAATGGCAAGATAACCGCATTGGTCAGACGAAAGGTCAAACGGTAAGTGACCACTCCAAAAACACACGGGTGACCTATAAATGTGATGACCCGTGTGGAGGACGTCAGACCACATGCTAAGTCATGGCTTAAAATGGACGCCTAGTTTTCTTCCAGTGATGAAGTTGAATAACGTTTGAGCAGCATATCTTCTTATATTTTCCATGCCATGTTTACTGATTAGCCATGATGTATTAAGTAAATAAGTAAGTCATATCCTTTCACTGCTTCAGTAGTTTGGTATCCGCATATTCATAATAATTATATTTGCTTATATAGCGCCTAACACTTACTTTATCAGAAGTCTCTAAGCGCTCTACAATAATGCAGCATAATTACCCTGGCTTGGGCAGTGCAGCTGTTACGCGCGCTGCGTTTCAAGGAATAAATTCCAACCAGGTACCCATTTACTTCACCTGGGTGGAGTGTGGAAAATGTAGATTAATGTCTTGCCAAAGGACATTAGTGCCGCAGCGGGACTCGAACCGCGGACCTTGTGATCGACAGTCCGGCGACGTATCCACGCGACCACAACACCTCTACCTCTATTCATTTTAAACTTTAGATTTCAGTTTTGCCAAGAGAGATAATTACTTCACATCTTCTATAGATTGAAGAAAGATGGAAAGGGGGAGAGAGAGAGAGAGAGAGAGAGAGAGAGAGAGAGAGAGAGAGAGAGAGAGAGAGAGAGAGAGAGAGAGAGAAGGGAGATGGTAACTGAGAGAGAAACACACAAAGAGAACAGTGAAAGGGATACAGAATTAGCATGAGTGCATCGGACAAAGAGAGGAGAGAGAGAGCGAGAGGGAGGCGAGAGAGAGAGAGAGAGAGAGAGAGAGAGAGATGGGAGAAAGGACAGAGGGGAAGAGAGGGGGAGAGAGAGAGTGTGTGTGTGTGTTTGGGTGCGTGCGTGCGTGCGTGTGTGTGTGTGTGAGAGAGAGAGAGAGAGAGAGACAGACAGACATACATAGATGGGAGAAAGAAAAATATACATAAACGAAAATACACAGACTTGGAGGGAAAGAGAAGGAGACAGTAATGAGCAACCGAAGGAGAATGAGAAATAAACAGAACAGAAGGAAGACTGAGACAAAGACAAACAGAGATGAAAGGGTGTAGGTCTACAGTCGGCAGATCTGCCAGTATATCCTAAAGCTCCAAGAGATTTACCACGGGTATTCCCCGAAGTACGTCATGAACCCTACTGATGAAGCTGCCAAGCCTTTGTGTGAGACCTACCGTGATAGAACACCAGAAACCTTCATCGGCATCCTTAGACATGACGGACAACACTTGTCATAAACTTTGAGAGATCGCTTGTCAAAACTCTGCCATAAATGCATTCCAGTGTCATGAACCGCGTCCCATTACGGCCAGCCAGTGACCCTTTCTCTTTAGGCCTTAAGGCAGCATTCCGCACGGTCAAGGCCCTTAAGATCGGGTCAAGACTGGTGAAAACAGATTGAATTTTAGTCGGTGCCATATACGTCTTTCCAATCCATATGTATAATCAGAGAGACATTTATTTTATTCTCAAGATATTTCACTTCGATCGAACTGTCGATTTTTGCTGTATTTACTTTTCTTTCTTTTTCGGTAAAAAGAGAAAACACCTGCTGTTAATGCAGGCAGATGGGGGCTTGTTCATCAGATATCCTTCCAATCTAACTAAGGATTATATGGAAGGAAGATCATCCATATCGTACTTTTTTTTAATTTCATTTGTCTCTATTATCAAAAAAACCTGGAATTTTGAGAGAGAAAAAGCATAATCTTAATCTTAATCGTAAGCTTAATCTCTCACAGCAGTGCTATATGTGTCGATAGTTCTTTTTGAACCGTTCTATTATAAAGAGAAATACAGACAAAAAATGATTCCATCGAATACTTCTATTTTGGATATATTAAGTTCGACTAACGGGTTAACTTGGAAATAGGTTTCTTATAAATTACACTGTTCTTCCAATATGCCAAACTGAAGAACTCATTAGCACTAGTCAATTACATTGGTTAAGTTAAACCGTTGCTAGGTAGGGCAAACATTATTATATCTAATGCATGCAATTTCATTCTGACCAGTAAAATACACTTAATTGTAACAGGTGCGTAAAATAAGTCATAACGAGGACTTGTACTATTTTTCAAAACGGTTCCTCGTAGAAAAATAGAAGCTCGCGAACATTTATGTTCTTTTTTTCAAGGGAAGCAGAGTGGCGCAGCGGAAGCGTGCTGGGCCCATAACCCAGAGGTCCGAGGATCGCAACCTCGCTCTGCTAATCATTTTTTGAAAGACTTTTCTTATTGCCATCTCCTTCTTTAATACATTAGTCAGATTTACGATCATCTAGTTATCAAGGGAAGCAGAGTGGCGCACCGGAAGCGTGCTGGGCCCATAACCCAGAGGTCCGAGGATCGAAACCTCGCTCTGCTAATCATTTTTGAAGGACTTTTTTGTATCGTCATCCCCTTCTTTGATATACATTTTGAGTTTCTCACATATACGTTTTCAAGTGAAACAGAGTGGCGCAGCGGAAGCGTGCTGGGCCCATAACCCAGAGGTCCGAGGATCGAAACCTCGCTCTGCTAATAATTTTTTGTATAAATAAAAGTTCTTCTTTTTGTCATCCCATTCTTTGATATATATATATGTCAGACCATGTTTATTAACAAGGTATATTCTATTTTTGAGTAAACCTATATTCTAATTTTAGTAAGCTTATATTACTTTAAATGGTTGAACCCCTATTTAAATTGTACCTTTAAACTATGTTTCTATTAATATCACCTCTCTTGTATATGCCAATGGTGAAACAAAGAGATGGGAACAAAGAGACCCCTATTCTATAGGCCTTGTTTATGTCTTAAACCCAGACCACTTCCTTTATTCGTAGAGTACATAATTCATGAATGACTAGTGGATACATTTTCTGGTAATCCTTTGTCTTGGGGATAGGGAATGGTGGGGTTGTTTGCCTGGTTTGGGAAGAAGATTGGCTTTCTCGTTGAGAGCAAGTTTAGACTTCAAGGCAGATAGACGTGTGATGTAACTTCCCCCAGAAGTTACTATGTCGCAGATTTTTAAGACCTGCCTTGATTTTGTTTCTTAACAGGTAAGCGAACACTCACCTTCCTAAAAGTATATTCATGTTCTATTCTAGTAAATTATAGAGATATATCCCAAGATCCTCATGCAATTTGAATGAATTGTATGATATTGTTTAGTGTGATTCTCCTTGTGTTGGAAAACCCATTGTATGATATTTTCATGTGTTTATGTCCATTAACCTTTGATTCAAGATGGTTGTGATTGTGTATGAATTAAGATACTACTTTCCACAAGCCAGACATATTTATAGTTATTTCAGTCATTGTAAAATACTCATCATTAGATAGTTTAGTGATAGCCCAATTACTACTTGTGAGACGATAAATACTCTTGTTGAATATAAAGGAGAATTATTATTGATTAAGTAGGAGAGCAAGTTTAGACTTCAAGGCAGATAGACGTGTGATGTAACTTCCCCCAGAAGTTACTATGTCGCAGATTTTTAAGACCTGCCTTGATTTTGTTTCTTAACAGAGTTCCACCATGGTTCCACCATGGTTCCACTTCCATTTCCCTCGGGACAAGAGTTGGGATTGCTGTCGTTGTTCAGGCAACGCTCTCCACCTGATCGATGTATTTAGTGCTTATTGACGAACGACTCGTGTTTTATCATTTGTACTTTATATGAACATCTATTCTTTTTCTTCTATTGCTTGATATTTTTTCTACTGTACAGTGTAGTTTACTTTGCTCTTTCTCTATCATTTATTGTACCTGTACAATACATTGTAAAGCATTGCATGTAGCTGTTTTTGTGATATTGTTGTTTGAAATCGAGATGCCAGTTGTCACACTGGGAATTTATTATCGGTGTACCTTCGACACTGAATATTAATAAATACCTCTTTGGAATCATCGGCACAAAATATGTTTCAGACTTATGTATTTTAATGGATCTCCGTGTTTACTAATCTTAATTAATTAAACCGGCGCAGGCATATAAGGCCTGTGTAACATATATCTTGAGTTTACTATGATCGTGTTTTCAAGGGGGCAAGACTGGCGCAGCGGAAGCGTGCTGGGTCCATAACCCAGAGGTACGAGGATCGAAACCTCGCTCTGCTAATCATTTTTGAAGGACTTTTTTTTGTATCGTCATCCCCTTCTTTGATAAACATGTTGGGTTTCTCACATAGAAGTTTTCAAGTGAAGCAGAGTGGCGCAGCGGAAACGTGCTGGGCCCATAACCCAGAGGTCCGAGGATCGAAACCTCGCTCTGCTAATCATTTTTGAAGGACTTTTCTTATTGCCATCTCCTTCTTTAATACACTTGTCAGATTTACGATCATCTAATTATCAAGGGAAGCAGAGTGGCGCAGCGGAAGCGTGCTGGGCCCATAACCCAGAGGTCCGAGGATCGAAACCTCGCTCTGCTAATCATTTTTGAAGGACTTTTTCTTATTGTCATACGCTTCTTTGATATATCATGTTGGGTTTCTCAGATAGAAGTTTTCAAGTGAAGCAGAGTGGCGCAGCGGAAGCGTGCTGGGCCCATAACCCAGAGGTCCGAGGATCGAAACCTCGCTCTGCTAATCATTTTTGAAGGACTTTTTTTTGTATCGTCATCCCCTTCTTTGATATACATGTTGGGTTTCTCAGATAGAAGTTTTCAAGTGAAGCAGAGTGGCGCAGCGGAAGCGTGCTGGGCCCATAACCCAGAGGTCCGAGGATCGAAACCTCGCTCTGCTAATCATTTTTGAAGGACTTTTTTTTGTATCGTCATCCCCTTCTTTGATATACATGTTGGGTTTCTCAGATAGAAGTTTTCAAGTGAAGCAGAGTGGCGCAGCGGAAGCGTGCTGGGCCCATAACCCAGAGGTCCGAGGATCGAAACCTCGCTCTTCTAATCATTTTTGAAGGACTTTTCTTATTGTCATCTCCTTCTTTAATACACTTGTCAGATTTACGATCATCTAATTATCAAGTGAAGCAGAGTGGCGCAGCGGAAGCGTGCTGGGCCCATAACCCAGAGGTCCGAGGATCGAAACCTTGCTCTGCTAATCATTTTTTGAAAGACTTTTCTTATTGCCATCTCCTTCTTTAATACATTTGTCAGATTTACGATCATCTAATTATCAAGTGAAGCAGAGTGGCGCAGCGGAAGCGTGCTGGGCCCATAACCCAGAGGTCCGAGGATCGAAACCTCGCTCTGCTAATCATTTTGTTTAAAGTAGATATTCATTGATTTAAAAAACTAACTTTATTTCATTATTGCAAAGTTGAAACTTTGATTCGACAAGGTTATCAAAATTCAATGCTTGGAAACATTCGAAGTAATGATTATTATAAATTATAAAACGCTTAAACACAGCCCCGGCATAGCACCTGAGGAACTCTCCGAACGCTGCAGAGATGTGTGAGATCACAGTATGGACATGACTTGCACAAGCAGACGATGTCGCATGACATCTCACACATTTTCAGTGCCTGTGTTTTCATCTTATCTCGAGTTTTCTCTCTTACTTCACTACCGTCAGGCTAAATTTATAATATATTGCCTCACTCTAAACCCCGCGCATGGTTTTATTTTGATGACAAATGCAGCGATACAAAAATAAAGGAATCTGTCGCTTGTAAACAATTTAAGACGCCATTGAATATTCAGCTGCACACACCGCGGTATGTTCGGCGTTTCAAGAGGGAACAAATGCCGTCCTTAATATCATTCCGGGTGTTTTCAATTCGAAAGTCTGGTTTCTTTGATTGTTAATTAACCCCTATCCTGTGTGTTTACAAGCAAAAGATTTTAGTTATCGGAATCGGGTCATATCCCTTTTGAATGGTTTGACATGCCATCACATTTATATACACTAAACTCATTATAATTTGACAACTAAAAGCTTTGCAATTATGTTCATTCTCTATGGAATGTCGTCTGCTTGGGCAGTATTGGTCCATATAGTGACGTCATTAAAACATCGTTATTTTTCCGGCGAATCTCTCGTATATCCCAGCTGCTATGCAGGTGGTTGTATTTGTATTTTTATAAATCACCCGATATGTATTTGACCTAAAACTTGTACGATGGCCATATGTTAGCTTACCAGTTTCTAGTCATACATTAGTTGACATATTTGTGATTTTCTTTGAATTTCACCTTTAAGACTTCTTCTTTTTATCATTCTCTTATTCGATATCTTATTTTATATCTTATTTGAAATCTTATTTGATATAATTATAATAAGTTCGGTTTTTCACAAACTAGTTTTCAAGGGAAGCAGAGTGGCGCAGCGGAAGCGTGCTGGGCCCATAACCCAGAGGTCCGAGGATCGAAACCTCGCTCTGCTAATCATTTTGAAACGCAACACTAATCCCAATTTTAACCGGCAACATGGTAGTCGTTTAGTTTCGGTGAAATAAAGACTGGGGCAAATGTGGCAGGACTCAATGTCGGGGCACCCTTTTGGCATGTTTTGGGGTCACGAACAGAGATCATGAGGCTTGTTTACTCACACAGAAGTCAGTCACCCTTGCATCCTGGTCTTTAGATCGATGAATGGTATGCCGCCGGGAGAAGGTGAGGTATTAAAATAGGTTAAGGATAAAGTTCATTTGCGTCAAGAGATTTCATCGTGAAACATACTGTCCGGAAGATATTGAAGAAGAAAAAAAGATTTATTTATGTATGTAGCACATTATGGAATATTCAAAGTGGCATTTATTAAACATGCACTCTACACATAAATGAGTGTATAAGACTACAAAAACGTGTATCATGACGGTTTGGTTAAAACGTATCAGCTATTAATTTTGTTGTCATATTTCAAATATTAGAGCAATAGAAGCACCCTTCTTTTCAGGGGGACATTCCTTTCGTATGATATTCTTCCACACTAACATGAAAAGGATGAAAAAGTTAAAAATAATCTTTCGCTGAACATTCTCTTTAAAGTTCATTGGCCCCTACTCAAGTTGCGAAGAAGGCCATACGGCATCTCGTCCATTAGCTCTAAGTTCATTATTGCTCTCTAGGGCTGATGTATGTTATTAGCAATGCGACCATGATCTCACGTTCGTATGTTCAGTCTTATAGGCAGGTCAATGGCCTCTCAAGTTTGCCTGCAACCAATGTGGGGGCGATAGGTCAGGAAATGGCTTTCATCAGCTGCTTTTGCCAAAGTATGAGGGACTATTTTATGTTTGTAAATATTGAAGTCGGGTCTCTTGAAGATAATGGATTCGTTTACAGACTGAATAGTTCTGAAGCCATATCATATCCTTTTATTAATATTGGGTGGATATTTCGAGAATGTCGAGATCTTTTATAATTATGAGCTACAATTTAAAAGAAACATAGTATAGCCAAATTAAAATGAAGGTTAGGATAATAGACTTTAAAGGTAACGGTGATTATGACAATGTTGAACTTGTCATAGTTATAGACTTAAATTATATTGAATTTGATAGCTTAATCCCGGTCAAACCTATAATATAATATAATATAATATACAAACTGGATAATCCTACATAAATAATCAGAAGCCTTGTGTACATAACGCTATTTGTCAGTGCATTCATGTATGTGTGTATGATATAATGCTCCCCAGGGAGTGGAAATGGAGCACATAATGGGATATTAACCTTGGCGTATTTCATGCATGTATGTATGATATCACACTCCCCAGAGAGTGGATAAGGTGCACATAATGGGATATTAACCCTAGCGTATTTCATGCATGTATGTATGATATAATACTCCCCAGGGAGTGGAAATGTTGCACATAATGGGATGTTGACCCTATGTATTAATAGCATCTTATCGAGTCCCCTCTCCATCTTGTTTATTCTACCGTCAGTGCCAGAGGTAGGTTGAAAGCCATACCCTCTCGTTGCTAATGGGCCCTGCGCGGCAAGCCAAAAAGATTTTCTTAATGAGGAGTGACACTTGAAGACAGTCAGAGAGAAGATAGTAATGAAAAGTGTAAATAGTCAGCCTTCTAACAATCCATTAACCACTTATAATGCAGTTTGAATCTATATATCTCAATGCTTGAATCGCAATATTGTTTATAAGATGGAAACCGATGTGGTGGGTGGGGGGGGGGGGGTAAATACATAGTGCGCGTTCCGTCGCATACTCCTTACAACGGAATACTATATTATTACTAAATGTCTTGCAGTTCCATCATAATGTTGGAAATAATAAGATTCATGAACAATACTACACACATCATGACATATATTTAGAATATTTAGAATGTAGAAGGTGTACACGAAAGGATAGTACACATTAAGTAAGTAGTCGCTGTAGCTAAGACTCAGTATTCTATGAAAGCCAGGAAAATAGGGATTTATAGTTTCCTTCGCCTCATCCCCCGAACCCCCCCCCCCTCCCATTTTGTTTGTTTGTTTGTTTGGGAGGAGAGGCATTTATGGAGTAACGTATACATCAGTTTAAACTGCGTCTAAAATAAAGATAGGGCACATTCAACATGACAAATTAAAGTAAGTACATAAAAGACGTAATAGCATGCTACCCATAATATACCGCGTATCAAAGTATGTTGATGTTTACTAGTAAATCATTTGTCGCAATTACTGATATTTATCGAAAACTTTACTACGGAAAAAAAAATTCTTTGAATTTCCAACAAAATACAATATGATACTATATACTGTTCAAAATTTATTCAAAACATTATGACATTTGAATCAGAAAAAGCAAGAAGAAATTGAATTTTGCTTTAAACGTTGAAAAAGGGAATGAAAATCCAACGAGAATTAATCACAATCTACAATCTAAAAGCTAAAGATCAGATCTCAAGAAGATCGAGGACATTGTCCAGTGCAAACGACCCAATACTCTGGATGATGTATGAATGTGGATTTGTCTAAGTGGTTTAAGTGCAGAGTTAGAGGATAATTG